GAAACCAGTTTGGCTCAGTGGATAGAGCGTCGGCCTGCGGACTGAAAGGTCCCAGGTTCGATTCCGGTCAAGGGCATGTACCTGGGTTGCGGGCACGTCCCCAGTGGGGGATGTGCAGGAGGCAGCTGGTCGATGTTTCTCTCTCATCGATGTTTCTAACTCTCTATCTCTCTCCCTTCCTCTCTGTGGAAAATCAATAAAATATATTTAAAAAAAAAAAAGAGATTAACACTGGTGCTTGGTTTCTACCTCCTATTCAACTTTTTAAATAGAAATGTATATATAACTTATATCTATTTATGTATAAATTTTTATATATATCAGACATGTAGAGATAGGTAAATCAACATAAACCTATACAGTTTCTACTGTAAATGTTTTAGGAGGAAGTCTGTGTTTCCAAAGGTTTTAAAGAGAAAAACATTCAGTTATATAAACTTCACATCCCTTTTGTCCAGACATATCACACTGTCACATCAAGTTTTTGCTTGCTTTATTATTTTTATACTAGTGGCCTGGTGTACAAATTTGTGCATATTGAAAGGAAATTAATTAGAAGAAATATTTTAATATTTCTATTTCCCCTTTCTCTATAATAAAAGTGTCAAATTATAATTTACAATTGACAATGACAGATCAAAACACATGCGTGCGATTGGTGCCAGTGAGAGCTTCATATGTATCATGCATGTGCAAGTAAACTTAGCCTTTTATATATATATAGAATAAACTTGCTTAATTAGACCTTCTTTCTGACTTAGCTAAACTTTTTCCAGCCCAGTGAAGCACCCCAACTTCTCTTTCAGGTAATTGTCAGCAACACAGCAGTAAATATCAACATGAAGCAGATTATTATTGTAGATCACGGAGGGAGAACAAAGGGTAAAATATTTAACTGCAGCAGTGTTTGACTATACTCTGCACAGTGAGAAAATATGAAGTCATTTTCAAGGTCCACCCTTTCTTACTTTTTTTCAGTTAGGTCAAGTTTCTAAATCTCTGTTTTCAGGCTAATGAAAAGCAAATATCACATGATCTCACTCATTTATGGAATATAATGAACAACATACACTGATGAATAAGAGATCCAGAGACAGTGAAGATCCAGAGACAGATCGATCAGAATGTCAAAACTCAGAGGGAAGGTAGGGGAGGGTGGGGGGAAGGGGGGAAAAATCAACCAAAGGACTTCTATGCATGCATATAAGCATAACCAATGGACACAGACAACAGGGGGGTGAGGGCATGAGTGGGGGGGTATTGGGAGGTTAAGGACACATATGTAATACCTTAATCAATAAAGAAAAGTCAAAAAAAGAAAAAGAAAATAGGATGCCACCGAGTCTCCTGTCTACCTTCTCCAGGACTTCTGTGAGGATCAAATGAGATGAGGCACTGGGAAATGCTTCACAGACATTTCGTTAAAGAGTAAAATGTTTGCACCTGGGTATAAAGCAAGTCATGTTCCTGGCTGAAGAAATTGCAAGGAGGCTAGTTGCTAGGGAGAGGAAGCCAGGCGTTGCTATGTGATGTCATTACCTGGATGGACACTTAGCATATTAGCCATCCTATCTAATAAAAGAGAAACATGGTAATTGGCGTACAACCGCTACCCTTCCCATTGGCTAATCAGCGAGATATGCAAATTAACTGCTAGCCAAGATGGTGGCCTGCAGCCAGGAAGCTTGAAACTAACATGAGGCGTGCTTGCTTCAGTGACGGAGGACTCCAACGTTCCCCGCCTGCCGCTGCAGGCCTCTGAGCCTGCAGTTTAAAAAACATTGTAATGAATATAGAAGGTAAACAAAACCCCAGAAACCTGCTTTCTGCAAGCTGGGATCTCAGAGCTGGAGTTGATACAGAGTTTCAATTATAGAACCGAAACAAACCAGATACCTGCTTTCAGGAGCGGAGGCCTAAGAGCTGGAGCCTCAGAGCTAAAGCTGGCCCAGAATAAAAAAAAAAAAAAAGAAAAAAAGGAGCAGTTGGGAGATTCCGTCACCCGCCAGCCTGAAAACAGCCCTCAGCCCCTCACCCAGACTGGCCAGGCACCCCAGTGGGGACCCCCACCCTGAAGGGTGTGTGACCAGCTGCAAACAGCCATCATCCCCCACCCTGATCCAGGACACCCTTCAGGGCAAACCAGCCAGCCCCCACCCGTGCACCAGGCCTCTATCCTATATAGTAAAAGGGTAATATGCCTCCCAGCACCAGGATCAGCGTGACAGGGGGCAGCACCCCAACCCCCTGATCGCCCTGCGGCTCTGTGTGTGACAGGGGGTGGGGCCACAACCTCCCTATCGGCTCTGCTCTGTTCCTGACAGGGGAAGGGGCCCCAACCTCCTGATCAGCCCTGCTCTGTGCCTGATATGGGGGAGCTCCCCAACCCCCTGATCGGCCCTGCTCTGTGTGTGACAGGGTGCGGCGCCCCAACTCCCCTATCGCCACTACTCTGTGAGTGAACAGGGGGGAGCTCCTCAACCCCCTGATGGGCCCTGCTCTGTGCGTGATGGGGGGAGCTCCCCAACCCCCTGATCGACCCTGCTCTGTGCGTGACAGGGTACGGAGCCCCAACCCCCCTGATGGGCCCTGCTCTGTGCGTGACAGGGGGTGGCGCCACAACCTCCCTATCGACCCTGCCTTGAGTGTGACAGGGGGTGGTGCCCCAACCCCGCAATCGGCCCTCCTCTGAGCATGACTGAGGGTGGCATCCCAACCTCCCGAACCGCCCTGCTCTGTGCATGACAGGGGGCAGTGCCCCAACTCCCCAATCGGCCCTGCTCTGAGCCCGACCGGGGCTGCACCTAGGGATTGGGCCTGCCCTCTGCCACCCGGGAGCAGGCCTAAGCCAGCAGGTCGTTATCTCCCGAGGGGTCCCAGACTGTGAGAGGGCACAGGCCGGGCTGAGGGACCCCCACTTCCCCCCTGAGTGCACAAATTTTTGTGTACTGGGCCTCTAATATATATATAAATTCCAAATAGCAAAATCAATTAATCTACAGCCATTGAAAAATGTTCCAGAAAAGCACATTCTTTAAGACATGAGTCAAATTGTGTTGAACCATTTACTGTGTGCTGAACCTGTGTGGAACGGCACACAGGTAATGGAGGAAGAAAATTCTTGCCTCTCTCTATATATATTTTTAATATATTTTATTGATTTTTACAGAGAAGAAGGGACAGGGATAGAGAGTTTGAAACATCGATAAGAGAGAAACATCGATCAGCTGCCTCCTGCACACTCCCTACTGGGTATGTGCCCGCAACCAAGGTACATGTTCTTGACCAGAATCGAACCTGGGACCCTTGAGTCCGCAGGCTGACGCTCCATCCACTGATCCAAACCTGTTAGGGCACCTCTATATTTGTAAATCAAATTCATGAGGTGACAGTTTTATGATGAAAATATGGATTTCTCAGATTATTTTATTAGTATTAGCAACTGATGTTTCAACCTCTGTGATGTAAACAACACATCAGTATCAGTTAGCTACAAAACTGTTGATCCTGTAGGAATCAGAGAGAAAATCTACTGTCAAATTATTTTGCTTTTATTTAAATAATAATTTGATGCCAAATTTTTCATACCTGTGTGTTAGCCCAGATTTCTATAATGTTTTTTTAAAAATATGTATGTGGTATAAAATTGAATGATTTACATTATCAGAAGAAAATATTTTTATTTATCTATTTATTTATACACATATGCACACACATACCTTATTCAAAGTGGATTTATTTAGTAGTGATATTATATGATTATAAAACAAAAAAGTTGCATGTATAATTTTAAATGTTTTCTTACTTGTAAACTATAGCTTAAATATGGTAACAATGCTATCCAGAATTTAACCTATAACTAAAATACTTTTAAATTACACATGGTTTCATTTGTTTTAAGCCATCACAGACATATTGAGTTAAATTATTTCCTTTATTGAAATTGAGATTACTTTGTCCTTACAGAATATCTGGAGGCAAGCTGACCTATCTTATCCCACTCTGGTAATTTTTTTCTTCTCATTCTAGGGGCATGGCTTTAAAGTGTAAATTGTTATCTCCATACAGATGTTGGCAAAATTAGGTTTACTGTTGTGAGTACATAGAACACAGAGTTTATTTTTTTATTATTATTCATTAATTATTGTGTTATTTACTTGTGTTATAACTGCAAACCTGCTTTTGCCCACTGTCATATATAAATATACAACAACAACACTGACTACTAGTAGGTTGGAAATAAGAGTTGAAAATAAAAGCTGTAAACTATGGCATTGATATCTATTTTTACTCATATCTCAGGGCCATGCCAACCTTAAAAATGAGTATCAAGAGAAGGTTACATGATGAGATCTTCCAATAATGTATCTAATTTTGGGTGTTTTGTGTATGTCTGAACTTGTGTGGGAACATATGATAACAGATACCTTTAGTGTTACATATTTTGGTACACACATATTTATGTGGAGATACATAATTTTTTATTCTTGCAAAACATTGCCCTTAAAATATGTACAATTATATAAGGTACACATAAATAAGTAAATTGATATTTCCCATGTAATTCTAAATTACTCATTTAATGGAGACCTCAGTAAAATGAGATAAGAGTAAAAGGGAACCTGGATTTATAAGACAATGACTATACCCCAATTCCCACTGGATTATATCTATTTTCTTCCATTTTGTCAAAGTAAACATTGTCTCCCGAAACGAGAGATGTTCTAAATTAAAGAGCAGGTGAAGTTATTATGTTACATTCATTGTTGGTATTTCACTCCTATCTCCTTTATTTTAATTACAAATAAATAATTGGCAGTATATAATATATTATTTTTTCCTCAAATATAAAACCTGCATTAATAAAAGCCAATATCATAATTTTAATATTTTCCTCCAACACATCTCATATATGTCTATATTTCATTGTATTTTCAAAACAAAATTCTACTTAACAAAACTGCTACCTAAAAATGCAAAGAAATTATTAAAATACTTGCCTGAAATCCAAGGAGCTTTTCACTAGGCTTAATGTGCCTCTGAAATTCACACTCTATGGGTTGTATCACTTTGATCCCATCTTCATAGAAAACATAGAACATGTTTCCAATTCCCAGACCTTAGAAATAAAAACACATTTAAAAGCTCAAAATGAAATTATTAGAAAACTTTACAACCAATACTCAGTGCCCCTCATATTGCTGACAGATCAATCTGCAAAGTCATGTAATGTTAGTAAAGCAAACCCTGTGTGACCTTCACCAAACTCCCAAGCAACTTTGTGATATTAGGCAGACGTTCTAGCTTATTCTCCCCAATCTGCAGTTCAGTGCGTTCTGAAATACAACTCTAGTTAATTTAGTTGTTAAGGGAAAAAAATACATTTGAAGAATTCTATTTATCCTAGTACTTTTATTAGAATTCCCTAGTGAAAATAAAATTGCATTATTTGTAGGAATTTCCTTTATATACCAATTTATAGAAACAAAAAGAATAAGACTTTGAGGTTTCAGAAAATAAACAAATTTTTATAAATATAATCCTACATAGAGGTCTTATATGTCATTTTTTATACTAGCAGTGTTTGGACCTATTTCTATACTTTAAAACTTGAATTAATTTGAGGTTTCAGAAAAAACTTCAGTGTACTAATTTAAAGCATACTTTTATTTTTTCACACTGCAGATCTAAGTGTGTGGCATGTTAGATTTTATATCACTTTATAAATCCAAACCTAACCGGTGCAGGACACTACAATGAAATACTGGATTGCAGGTGGGGCTAACTGAGGCCTGCACCTGGCAGCTTCTGCATAGTCCCGCACACCTGCTCTCTCCCTTTCCTCTGCTTCTGCCTTTTTCCCGCTTGTCCAGGCCTAACTGCATGTAGTCCTCCCTTTTCAGATCCTCAGCTGAGTAGCATCCTTTCCCAGCTGTGTTGGTTTCCATAATCACCTTTATTCAGTCTAATTACACCTTACATGACTCAGTGATAGCATGTGTTCTTTGAAAAGCCAAACCACTATTGCTTAAAATACTTAAAATCTAAAAGCATCTATACAGAGAAAGGTACTTTCCTTAAGTACAAAAAGTTCCTAAGCATTTTTACTTTAATTGAGAATATCTGCAAGGCCTATTAAGTCAAGCCTGAGGATCACAATAAAAGTGCATTAAATTGTAAAATTGTCCGTTTGTTGATCTCAAGACATATTTATTCTTAATAAATGTTCTTAGTTTAAAGAGTCACCAATTCTGTCCACATATCACATGTCCACCTATTAGTATAATTTAGAGTAAAATGCAAACATAATTATGACTTTATTTGTCATGGTGTTTATAATCGTCCTTTGGCACATGAAACTATTTCTATCTAATTATATATATATATATATATATAATTATTTCTATCTAATTATATATATATATATATATATATAATATATATATATTAAATGACTCCAGATTGTTATGACACATCTTTATTGTTTTATAAATATTTCACACTACTTATATTTTAATATGTGCAATCTTTATCAGATAATTAACCATTTTAAGTCCAGAGAGTACTACATTACGATGGGACAGTCCTAAATAGAAGAAGAGGCAAGAACTAAATTTGTCATATTTTAAAATATATATAATTTAGTAGTTGTCAGCTATTCTTTGTAATAATAGTTGTGCATAAAGGATTATAAATTCCAAGCCCAATTAATACAATTTTAAAAAGTTAGTTTTAATGTAAAAAAATGTTTATTTGTATTAGTAAGCTTCCAGTGAACATTAACCTAAGATTGATGTGTGCTATATATCAATGACTATCAATTTAGTCATTTAGGTATTAATTGTTGTTGAAACCTATAAACATAACCAAATAGTAATGTGGTGTCTGATGGTCAGATGTCTGTTACATACTATATTCAATGATTATTACAAAGTCCATAATTTTTTTATTAGTTTTTAAAATGTATATTTATTGTTGAAAGTATTACAGACATCCCCTCTACCCCTCCCCCAAATAATCCTCTCCAACCCACTCCCACCCCCTCCCCAGGCCTTCACTGTACTAGTGTCTATGTTCATGGGTTATGGGCCACAGAACATTTTTGAATGAACATGACTCTGCCCTCCTTTAGCTGCTTCAAAATTGTACTCCACCATCAGGAATGTGAAGATGACTGAACCTGGCACTACTCTATGCCTAGTTTGTTTGTAAACTTTCTTGGAAAACTTCCTGCCTTTTATTACTTTACCATATTCTGTACACAATACAATCAGTGGGATTCCACTTTATTCTTGCACTGATGAAATTTCTGAGCTGTATTTTCCTCTAAAACCCACTTAATCCATCCAAATCACCCTTCCATTCTGAGAGACCATTTTCTTTCTTTTTAAAATATGAATTACACATCAGCATTTTTACCAAGCATAAACTACTTTTTAGGTTATTGAAGAAACACAGACATCATTATGTAAGGTTTAGTTTGTTTTTGCATTTTATTGTTTTCAGTGAAATGTAATTCATTGGTGTGTATGAAATAGTTATGCCAACAAAATACCATATATAAGTATATTACTAAAAATAATAATTGTAAAGTAGACAACTATGTATCAATTACTCTGACTTGGAATAAAACTTTACCTATCTTTTAGAGTCATCTTTGAGTCCCTCCCTCCTTACCCACAAGAGGTCTATTTTGCCTTTTTTTGCTAGACATATTTTGTTCATCAAAAAGTTCTACTTAGTACTTGGCAGCAGAATTTATAATATGATGCAGATGTGTTTCTTTTTAAATTTGCTGCTATAATATTGTACATATGTACATTTATTATGAATATAGTGGGGACAGAACAATAAAAATTACCTGATGATGGAAATGTTGATAATTGAAGACAAATTCAGATTTTCTTTTGGGGCATTCATTAGATTTATTTGTAAAGTAGCAACAACATATTTGCATATATTCATTATAACTATAGTTTCTATGTTCTAACCTTTTTTTTTTTTTGAGAAGGGATGGGAGACTGTAACAGATAGATCAACTCCATTCTCTGGATTCAGACAGCTCTAAGGCAAATCATAGTTATAGAACCAACTGTTGGTTGTGCTATTCAGTCATGAGGTAGAGTTATTCAGTCATGTCACAATTACCTTATCTTAAAATTTGAAGGTATTAACTATACTTATATCATAAAGATGTTGTAAGAATATAATGAGATAGAGAAATTGAAACATTTAGCAGAGTTCTAAGATTGTAACGAGATAAATTAAAACATTTAGCAGAGTGACTGACACATAGTAAGATTTCAAGAAACAAAAACTATCACTTTTTTATAACTGACATTATCTCTTCTTTGAAACATTAGTGGGGGAAAAAAACAAAGGGTGAAATGTACATAACCTGAATATGATTACTGTCCTCATGATTTCCTCAAATCTATACTGTGAGATATACTGCTAAATTTCAGTTTTCCATGATGTTAAATTCTGTGAATCCATGAACTGCTAAACGTTCAAATTTATTTTCTTTGAGCAGGTCTCAAAGTTGATCCTTTCAGTGGGTCTACAAAGTTACAGCTGTTTACATAATAATACTAAGATGTCATTTGTGGGCTTTTTTGGTGTGTGTTTTTCTCTCCGTTTCCCAAGTTAGATTCTCCCAGAAGTAGAGTGAACTTTTGAACAGGCTATAAGACACATGATGTCAAAAGTGATGTCCTAATAATTCACTGCAGAAGTAGATATAGGAAGCTAGCATTTCCTATTCAATCAGACACTTAAAAGATTTGAAAAATATGAGTCCCCTCATTGTTTTAGTGAATACATAGCTTTAAAAATAATGTGCTATTTATGGCTACATGTAATGGGCTTATTATAATTACTTTTAATATATTAATAAATACCCACTTAAATTTTTCTGTATTAAATTCTAATATGGTAAACATAAGTAGATAAAAATGACCCACATAGACATAAGTTTATGTGTTCTCAGTCACATTGGAAAGTGTAACAGGGTCCTGTGTCCCAAGGAATTTGATAACCATGTAGGTTTTAATTACAATTCTCTCCTCATTGCTACTTTTTATTGTAGTATATTACAAAAGTTCTTGACTCCAGTGAAAGCTTCATGGCTCTAGTCACGGTAAAGATTGGGAACATGTGCAGGCTGTTTTTCTTTTCCGTTTTCCATCCCCTGGTGAAGTCAGACATATGTGCTTTGTCTTTTACAGGTCGATTGTTAATCTAATAGAGTACTGTGCTCTAGAATGTAATCCATATTTGTTGGTTCCTTGTGAGTTTTCTTTTTGCTTTGTTATTCTTTCGGTACAGAAAGAGGACATAAGCAAGAATTACCTGCAGTCTCATAAGAGAGAATTATTTTCCAGGGGATTTTCTAATCAATAATGCACCTTTGAACACATGGACTAGATAAAAAATGGGTGGAATGTGCATTCCCGTCTCAATACTTTGATGATAGCTGCTCAATAATGATAGTGTATTGTGATAATACCAGTATGTTATTTATTATATATAGAAAATATTTTCTGTAATTTATACCAACAATAAAATTTGGCTAATTTCTGATCACTAGATGAATATTTAAGTCAATAACAAAGTAGATTTTTTGGTGTTAATTGCCTTCCTCTGACTTAATTTTACATTACTTTAGCATATAAATTATAGTCAATATTAATCTTTTCACATTCAAATTATCCTAAACTTATCTTTTGTTGACATATAGAAGAATTCTTTTTTTAGCTAAAGAAAAATATAGGCAAGAACAGATTGTACACAATTGCATTTCTCACATTGATAACTAGGCAGAAGTAGACTTTTGGTTCATGAATGCTCGGACGTTTTTGCATCTATACCTTTGGAGCTAAAAATCTTTTCACACACACAGTAGTATCCCAGCATTCCACTGCAATAAGACCCTTATATTATGTTCATTTAAAATAAGACTTACTCTTTCATTCTTCCTATAAAGCTTTGAGGAATGACTGTGCCAAGCTATTTATTGGGCAACTGTAATTTAGGAAGTAGGTGCCATCTGACACACACACACACACACACACACACACGCACTACAATATATATATTAGAGGCCTGATGCACAAAATTTATGCAAGGGGCTCAGCCCTCATAGCCATGGCAGCTTGCCTCAACCCTTGCAGCTGCGGCTTCATCCGGAAGGTCATTAGGCTGTCCAGTCTAATTAGCATATTACACTTTTATTATATGAATGATGTTATCTCAAAAAAGGAGGGAGGTAGTATCTTCATCTTTGAGAACAAAATTGAAATAAATATATTTCAAAATTATTTGAATCTTATGATTCATGGCCTTCAAAGGTAGCAGTGTCTCCAGCTCATGTGGGAAGCTGTAATTGGGGAATAGAAAGTTTGCTTTGGATGGACTGTGAAGACAATAACTTGGGCCATTGTTTACCTGGAGTGTAATGATGGTATAGATATTTTTCTCCTTAGAATATAATTAAAACACATTGATGGGCTATTTGAGTACCTAGTCTAACACTTTCCAGCCTTTGTGATTAAGTAAAAACTAATAAAAACAACAATAATAACAAATGATAATAGATACCATTTACTGAATGTGGACTACATTTAAAAAACTGATAACAATCCTATGAGTATTGATAAATATCCTTATTTTTGAAATAAGAATATTATTTCATAAAAAGGCCCTAGTGATGGAGACTGAATTTGAATCCAGGTCCCTCAAGTTTATAACCCATTTTGTTAAATAATTTATTATATTCCCTAGATAAGGCAACAGTTTTTATATTTGTTCTTTTCCTAACCTAATGAGGGCTTACTATGTAAATTATGTTTAACTAAAGTTTTTTTTAACTTAATTTTATACTCTTAAAAGTATTTCAATATATTGTAATTTAATTTCCTGGTTGTATATCAATTATGATTCAAGCTGATGAGCGGTATTAATATATTTAATGGTAGAAGTTTAACAAAAATGTTGAACTATAATCAAATAAAAATATTGGCTCAAAATAAAAACTGGTTATTAAAACTGATAGTCAACATATATACCAAAAGATTAAGCAAAATAATTACAACAATATAAGAAATAATAGAATTTAGTACCTTCTTCTCTCCATAATATGTTAGCTACTGCAGCATGTTAAAAAAGAAAGAGAAGGAAAAATGAGTAAAGAGAACTTCAGTTGCACAATAATGTACATAACTATTAAAGAGGTCACAATCTCTGAGACAGAACATGTACATAAAAATAGTGAAGTGAATTCAACAAACTACTTTAAAATGAACAAAACAGTAAAATGCTGGGAATAATTAACAATGTTCCCTTCATTTCTTGAAATAGCCTATTCTTCCTGGGCATAAAGATTTTGTTAATAAACACAGAACATTTTACGCATCATTGAAAAGAATGGGATTTTTAAGTTAATTGTATTGAAATACAGCTTTAGAACAAGCATTGGCAGCTAAACTATTTGTTTATTTGACAGTATCATTAGAAGTCACAAATTGTAAAAGTTATATTTTTATAATTCTCAATATTCCTGAGTAAGATTTCTTATAGGATTTTGAACACAAAAGTTGCTTATTTTTAAGTAAGTATATGTTTTCACTTTTTAAACAAGACAGAATAAAATATATGGTGTATTTTGATGCAAAGTAAGAGTTTATATTAACTTGTTTCTAGACAATATATTTATTAAATATGATACAGCACTAAATCAGTAGAGAGTTAAAATAGTAAGATAGAATTAAGGAGATAATACCAATAGAAATATTCCCAAGGAAATGTCTGCCTGCCTTACTAATTCAAAGTTATCCAATTTCTATGTTTTCAAAGAAAAATAATATAAGTAAAAAGAAAGTATAACTAACAGAAAACCTCATACACATACAATTACTCCCTGAATATTTTAACCATATTACAGCATAATCACTTTTTAAAAAAAAAAAAAAAACAACCAAATGCCCATGGTGGATGTCCAGCACTCCTAGCTGGAGCCTGAAGGACTAAACATGCAGTTTTCAGCATTTGTTATATATATATTTCTAAATAAATTTTTGTAGAGTAAGCATTCTTTCATGATTTTGGGTGTTCTTAATTCTTTAAGAATATTTATTCAAACATGTACACGATATGTATATCTCCTCAGGGCATTATGGTGCTGTTCTTGTTGCTTAGAGTGTACTTGGCGTGTATATGAAAAGAATAGATCTATTTGCAAGGAGAGGACATAGGCCTGTGAAGGGAGAGAACCATGCTAACAAATAATTATGACCATGTGATAAATCCAATCAAAGAAACAAATACCAGGCTCAGTGGCTAGGGGCAGGACCTGATTATCTCTGAGGGGTAGAGGTTGGGTAGCAGAGGGAAGGATAGCTTCATTGGGTTGGTGATATTTAAGAAAGATAATGTCATCCAAACTCAGAAGGGACCATGGCTAGAGACATTCGAGGTATATCAACAGACCACACCATAACACATCTAGAGAAATTTAAGTAATTGAATATAGTTGGAAGGTAAAACTGATAGGAGCTGAGGCCAGAGAATCTGTCCATGATAAAATCATGAAAGTCTTGTACACAATGTCAAGGAGATAAACCTTTCTTCTGTAGGCTTAGGAAAGGCTGAGCCATGATTACACTTATCATTATTTTTCTAGTTTATAAGAACAGTAACTAGACATATATCTCCATTCATTCACTTAGTATTGAGTGAATGCCTAGCATGTGCCAGATATTGTATTCAATACACAGATTAGAACAGACCCAGCTCTGTGCTAATAGAGCATCTATTTTAGTTAAGAAGGGGAAAGTGAACTAACAGTACCCAAATCATGGTAGAGAAAAAATTGCAAATTCAATGTGTTATAAAAGAGAGAAGCAGTCATTGAAATGTTTTGAACAGGTGGATTAGATGTAGTCTAATCTGAGACTGGAGGAAACTTCCTTAATGATAATGCTGAAGGTGACATCAAAAGATGAATAAGAGCAAACTGAGTGAGAATTTTAGAGATATAATTTATAGATATAGGCAAAAGCATGCACAAACCCTACTAGTACATCAAAGCATGGCTATTTTAAAGGACTAAGGACTAAAAAATAAGGATGGTTTATTTTTAAGATAAACAATCACTTATGAGAAAGTACCAAAAAGTACATTATTTGTGATATTAACATTAGAGAAGATAAAATTAAAGGCACTACATATTGAACTTAAAATTATATAAACCAAATATATAGCAAAATAATAAAAGGCAGAAACTATTAGGACTGAATACAACATTGATAAATCCACAGACACATTCTGTTTATATTATTCTTCACTCTTAATATTTGAAAAATGAAGAGAAAAGGACAAAGTTTTAATAATATAATTTTAAGATTAAATTAATATTTTTATAACAAGTATTGGACTATACAAACAGAATGTATTTTTTTTTCAAGATGCCTTGAAAGATTTTCAAGAGTGGCCACAAAGTACATTCGAAAATAAAAAGTCTCTAGTCTGTATGTTTTGCCAATAAGCATAAATAGCTTAGACATACTCAGACAACAATAGAGAAAATATGGAAACATGTTTAAATCCAAAAATTTCTTCAATAAATTAAATATTTAAAAAATAAAATATAATCACAATTTATATAAACTACAAAAATAGTAATTCAACATGTGGTCCCAAAGAGTTTTAGCCAGAAGCTAAGGTATAGACTTAACTGATGTACTGCTGAGCAAGATAATAGATTGATGATAGATAGATGATAGATAGATAGATAGATAGATAGATAGATAGATAGATGATCGATAGATAGATAGATGGTAGATAGATAGATGATAGATAGATAGATGATAGATAGATAGATTATAGATAGATAGATAGACAGACAGACAGACAGACAGACAGACAGACAGATAGATAGATAGATAGATAGATAGATAGATAGGAGGAGAAAAATGAACAGAGGGAGAAAGGGAAGGAAGAAGGAAGGAACAGCTGTGGCAATAATGATTTTAAATTAATAAAGACATTTTTACTAATAAATTTGATAGTCTGTATTTCATAACAAAATCTGAGGAAATATATCTAAATTGAACATAACGCATAAAGTTGAATAAAAATAACCATGGTACTTAAGATGATAATTCTGAGAGCAGAATAACCTAAGCATAGAGGCAGAGATTATATTAGTATCATGAATGAGCATACTGGATATTTGATTTCTTTTGTATCAAGTCAACAAGCCCAGATAAGCCAAGAGCTTGCTCTTCCCAGATTCTCTCCTCTTTCCCTCCCTGCTCCAGCCACCCCTCACCACTTAAAACCCCCTTCTTTCCTACACAAGGTAAACCCCAAATGTCAAACCCCAAATGTTGAGTCAGGTTACAAGAATACAAGCTTTCTGCCATACCAAAGAGATCAATATAGCCATTTTTAAGAATAAAAGTAATTATCAATAAAAGGAATGTTATTTTTCATTTGGACTGCTATTTACATATGGGAATGGTTTTGTTTGTCATATTAATTTATCCTTCATACAATATATATAGTTAACTATAATAAATTCAGGCTTCATAATGCCACCCTTTTGCTAAAAAACACATAATGTATGTATAAATGTGTGTGTACACGCACGTGTGTGCACGTGTGTGTGTTCGTATATGAGCTCAAAGTCCTTAGCATAGCATAGATATGCTATGGCTGTGTTATATTAAATTCACATTCAAACATCAAGTCATTTTGAATTTCTCAGTCTTTACTCTTATGTTAAATCTGACAGTAATATTCTTAGCAGAATTATTCACCTAATTTCCTTCTAGTTTTTCTTTAAACCAGCTTAGATTTTTGCCTATTGCTAGCATGTGTAGAACCAAGAGTTGGGCTTTCTGACTTTTTTCTCTACATATGGAATCCGTGAAACACAAATGCATTCCTTAATATACCATAAATAAATTTTCTGTCCCAAAAGCTTTTATTGGTAACTAGAAAATTAAAACCTCACAGTTATTGACTCCCCAGTAATTTAGTACTTATTCATGACAGCTGAAATGTCAAATTCTTTCTGAAGATAACATATGCCTTATAATGAAAATGTGGTTCCATGGAGATGCCTGGACACTAGTAACAGAATCTTTATTAATGTTTTTTAATAAATTGCCTTATTTTATCTATTGTAGATGTGCTATTATATTCAAAGTGATGGATTTCATAGTAGATATGCTATGTAGGAATACATGTGGAGAATTGAATATCATACAAGCAACAGCAATAAGAGAGTTCACTACATAGCAGCATGCTATAGTACTGAACAGCTATTTTCCTTGGCTACTCATGTGTAAACGGGCTTTTCAACTAAATAAGGTTTCTGCTTGTCGTTGTCTTCGTCTGAAAGTGTAATGTGTTCAGCAGTGCAAAACGTTTTTTTATACTACACTTATCTGAGGATAACATTTCAGCTATATGTCTTATTGACTGATTTTCCTTTGGATTTGAGAAATTGACAACTTTAGAGGACAAGCGAAAAAGGGTAACATTTTAAAAATGTAGGTAAAGTTTAATGTAACTGAAAAAAATGCATGGTTAACGTTAGGGCAGTTGAAATTTCTTTGAATGTACATATGGAGAATGAAGTGAGATATTTAAAACACACTATTTTTAGGATGGAAAGCTATGTAATATATGCCAAGTACATTGCCTGCCATATGCCAAATTCAAAACCACTTTTAAGTGAAACTCACTCTTTTGGCACTAGTTGAAGAAACTGTCCTTTGTGGCTACACATGTTTCCAAACTAGTGTCTAACATTAGTTGATTAGGCTATAGTGTCTGGCTTGCACTAGGGCACACAACCTAGGCACTGGCCAGAAATATATGGTTTAATTTCTCTGAAGTGATAAGATGGAATAATAAGATACTTTGGTGAGGGGGCAGGGGTGGGGATTTGAATCAAGAAATCATGTTTGAAAAGAAAAAGCACAGAGAACAAGAATTGTAGAAATGCATAGGCAAAAGCGCCATGGCATAGAGTCAGGGCTATGATAATTTGTGATAACGTACAGAAGGACTCAAGAAGACATGAAAGGCAGGAAGAGAATATACAACCCACAGGAGAGGTGTAAGGGTCAGCCATTTT